TCTCCCCCCACCCCAACTCCTCCACCTATATAACCAAAACTCCTCATACTATGTTCTTCACTTCACTAACAAAAAACTCAAAAACTTCTCTGAAAATCTCATCAATTCAAAAATGGGGTTCACTAGTTATGCAGAAATCTCCGAATCTCTTCATCGTACTCGAAAATTCTTCCTTTTATGTAACTACATTCTTCTTGGTGCAGCTTCCAGTTGCATTTTCTTGACTCTTTCTCTTCGTCTTATCCCCTCGTTATGCGGTTTCTTCCTCATCCTCCTCCACATTATCACAATTGGGGGTGCTGTTTTTGGGTGCTCTGCGGTTTCTACTCGTTCAAGTATGGGGAATTGGTACGGCCCCCATATGGTTTTTACTGTTTTGACAGCGATTTTACAGGGCTCTGTTTTCGTGCTGATATTTACGAGAACAGGGGATTTTCTCGGGAAATTGAAATCGTATGTTAGGGAAGAAGATGGTGAAATGATTTTGCGATTAGCGGGTGGATTGTGTGCATTAATCTTTTGTCTTGAATGGGTTGTGCTTACATTTGCTTTTTTCTTGAAATATTATGCTTATGTTGAAGGTGATGGTAATGTTGTTGGTGGATCAATTGCTATGAAAAGAAGTGCTAAAGTTCAAGATGAAGATGATATCAAGAATTGGCCATGGCCTTTTCAAGTCTAAGTTGGTCTTTTCATGGAGGTGATTTGGGGTGGGTGGGGGCTGGGGTAAAAGCTATATATAACATAGCTTCTCAATGATTTGTTCATTCATTTGGTTATTTTCTTTTGTTGGGGTAGGGGGTGGGGGTGGGGTGTAATGTATGTTGAGTGTTTCTTATTGGTTCTATCATATATATATACAAATATATGTTCTTATTGAGGAAATTGAATTGAATTAGTGATTGTTGTTGAGCCTATTTATTCGAGTATTTTATTAAAAAAACGCAATTGGTCTTGGCCCTCTTACTAGAAAAAATATGTTCATCGAGATATCATGTTGCATTTCTATAGCGTATGTTAGCACTTTGATCAATTTGATTCATTCTAAAAAAAACATAATACTTATTGGTCCTAACTTCTAAATATCTTGTGTATTGAGAAAATTGAATCGAAAATTAATGATTGACGTTAAGCTCAATTATTCGAGTAATTTCTTTAAAACAAAACAATATTGGTCTGGGACCATGGTTTGCTTTCCTAAATTGTATGCACTTCAATCAATTTGATTCATCATTCTATCTATTACAAGACAGATCCTTATAATTGAAGCAAATTAGCTCTAATAATGATTGTTGACGTTAAGCTCATTTATTCGAGTAATTTCTTAAAAACAAAACAAAATTGGTCTGGGACCATATGGTTTGCTTTCCTAAATTGTATGCACTTCAATCAATTTGATTCATCATTCTATCTATTACAAGACAGATCCTTATAATTGAAGCAAATTAGCTCTAATAATGATTGTTGTACGTTAAGCTCATTTATTCGAGTAATTTCTTAAAAACAAAACAAAATTGGTCTGGGACCATATGGTTTGCTTTCCTAAATTGTATGCACTTCAATCAATTTGATTCATCATTCTATCTATTACAAGACAGATCCTTATAATTGAAGCAAATTAGCTCTAATAATGATTGTCGTTGAGCACATTTATTCGATTAATTTCTTATTAAAAAATGAAATTTGTCTGGCCTCTTATGGGGAGTTTAATATGTTCATTCAGATATCATGTGATTATTTTCCAAAACGTATGCTACGACTTAATTCATTCTATTAAAAAGCAAATTTCGATAACAGAAACAAATTAGCTTTGTTTTTCTTTTTAGTGTTAATTCAATTTTTTGAGATTAACATGTTTTAAATTTATGAATTATGAAAGAAATATGAGTTTGACCACTTTATAAGAAAATGATATATTCAATAAGATTTTTATCATGGTTACTTTATAATCCAGCTAATTATGCACTGGAATTAAAATAAAACAGTTATTATCTAGAGCATGTGGTCACACTTTTTTTTTTAATATTGACTATAATATTACACTTACTTCTCTTTTTTTATTTGTTAATAATTCTTTTAATAAGTAAATTACAATTCGACTAATTTACCCTTGTTAATTTTAACCTCTTTTCATTAATTGATTTCAATGATTATTTTTTGAGTTGTCAATTTTTTTACTTTTAAATAAACAAATTACGTGAATCAAGTTGACTCCGTAACGGTCTATGCGTTAAAATTAGTGTGGAGACTAGTTGGGATTATTAGGCCGAGTAAAGTTAGTAGAGAGAGAAAAAAATTGGTACCGGAACTTTTTTCCATTGATGAAGATAAGGTGTTCGACGAAATGTCACAGACAACAGTGAGTTCTGAAATTCTTGATCTTAACACAACTGTCCATAGCTTTGTTTGATAAATGTCCTAAACAGGATAAATGAGGTTTTCTAGTTCCTTTTCCTAGATAAGGTACTGTAATGTTGAATGTGATTATGTGAATTGCTGCAATTGAATATATCCATTTGATGGTGTCTTATGACATCACACTATTGCTTGTTTGTATAATTCTCTTGAAGAAATGTGTGGAGTAGTAAACAAACTAGAGTGTTGCCTTACCTTGACTTTAGGTTACACAAATGCAATTGGGTTGATATTGGGTAGGAGCTATGTTGTTCGGTCTCTTCAAAAATGTTAACGGATGTGTGTTGGATTCTCCAAAAATAGTGCATTTTGGAGAATCCGACATGGGTGTGGCAACAATTTTTGGAGAGTCTGAGCAACATAGGGTAGGAGTGGAATCTTCCTAGTTTCTTGTCGTCTAACTTGAGAAGGTGTGCTAGTGAGGAGAAAATACAGGAAGTACTCCAGGCAATTGTTGTAAGTTCCTCCAAGCAGTCACCATATACTCGAGAGGGTGTGCTTGTGAGGAGAAAATTCAGGAAGTACTCCACACAATTGTTGTTAGTTCCTCCAAGCAGTCACCATATACTCAAGCTGTTAGGCTCTTGTTTGCTATGTTTGGTCTAGTCCATAAAGCTAGGCTGACTTCGCTGTTTATTGTCTTCGACGGTGTGATTTGCTCCCATGTTTTATGTGTTTTGTGTTTTTTTTTTAAATATGCTTTCATGATTTTCAGCATTTTAGGCGCGTCTGTATCTGAGATACAGCTTGCAGTGTGTCTGATACACTGTATTGTGGAGGAAAGTGTCGGCAGGTTCAGTAAATATGGAAAGTATCGTTGTGTATGGTTAATAGGCTCCAAACTATAGCCTTTTTTGAAATTTCTCTCAAGTAAAACATAGCTATTATTCATTTCATTTGATGACACTTGCTCTGTAGTTAGCACCCAACAAGTGAGAGGAATAAAGGTTGGGAAATTGTCATGTCAGGGACACCTTTTAATGCTTTAAGTTTGCCCTAAACCCTTACTGTGATTTTATGGCCTTCCTCCTTAACTGTCATTTTTAAGTTATAGCTCATGAGGTCTTTGAAATGAACAGTTTTGAACATAAGTTTGCTTCTGCTAATTACAGGGAAGTTGGAAATGTGAAGAAGGCATTCACTCCTCCACGAGAGGTGCATGTTCAAGTAACCCATTCCATGCGCGATATGGCTTCACAGAATCTCTTGATGCACCTAAAGCCTGTCGAGAAATTTGGCAGCCTACTGATTTTCTTCCTGATCCTGCTTCTGAGGGATTTGATGAGCAGGTCAAGGAGCTAAGGGAAAGGTGTAAGGAAATTCCTGACGACTACTTTCTTGTATTAATTGGGGATATGATCACAGAGGAGACCCTTCCAACTTATCAGACCATGATAAACACCCTAGATGGTGTTCGTGATGGAACTGGTGCCAGCCTCACTCCTTGGGCTATTTGGACTAGGGCATGGACAGCGGAGGAAAATGGGCATGGTGATCTTCTCAACAAATACTTTATCTTTCTGGAAGAGTTGATTTGAAGCAAATTGAAAAGACAATCCAGTACCTAATTGGTCCTGGGATGGTAAGATCTTTACAAGACCTTATGTTAAACAGTGCAGCTTTGAGTAAGTGTTATACTGTCTCTCTATGTATCTGCATTTGGCATATCCCATGCTGTCATAAGATTTCTGATTTTTCTCCCAAGTTAGTTCAGGTGTCAAATTACGAAAAATTTGTAATCGTATGAAAACTTGTAAATGGGATGGTTCCTCAAATACAAAATAGATGAAAACTTGTTTTTAATTGTACTTGCACCTTGAATTTTGTTTTCCTTAAGTCAAAGAAATTCTAATCTTTCTTCCTCTATATTCAAATTGTAAATAACTATATGACCATTTCCTTGTTCCAAATAGCCCCACCTAGGTTTAGTGCAAATACAGCAGGATAAGCTACGTATAATAGAATAGACCCTTGTTGTCCAACTCTTCCCTGACCCCTGCTATGCGGGAGCTTAGTGCACATGGTTGAGTGACGAAGGAGAAGAGAGATAGCATCCCGACTGGCTAGGACTGCCCCTCTTAAAGCATTTATATCCTAGATTCATCCATCTAACAAGTCATATATAAAATGCATAATCTTGACTTAGACAGGGAGATAAAAGAAAAAAGGGTACCAAAAGGTTCATCTTTATTGCTAATAACTATGCTTTTTCCTATGGCCTAAACACAATTGCAAAAACAAAAACCAAGGCTCTAGTGACATAGCTTTAAACTCCCCTGCACAGACTTCATACCATACTCTCAAAGTTTCTCAACATAAATCAATGGCAAATTTAATGATCAGAATTACCCTCCAACACAAGTGCATTCATCTCTTAATCTCTTTCCTCCAATTTTCTAATCCGCAGAACCAGTCCACATACATAATCTTGTACTCTGCGTCCTTAACTGGAAAAATGCAGTACGAAAACCAGTCCACTAGCACTGGAATCTGCCTCAAAAAGATGCAGTAAGAGTACAAAATCATGCTTACTTCGTAGGCATCATAGGCCGACCCAAGCCAGAGTTAATTAACTATATCGTACAGAGGATGTTATAAACTCTGCACTTAGAAAATGTCCCTGCAGTTCAATATAAGACAGTCAATAAGAAGCAATGCAAAGCAAAACAAAACAATAATAAAAATGCAACACAATGCTATGCAATATAATGCAATGGCTAATGACCCTACTAGCATACACTCCACAGACAATGTTGTGAGGTGGGACCCATGAGGGACTCGTGAGGTCCATATACCCTGCCTGGACTCGAACCAGGACTTTCGTCAATATAGTCTGTCCGATTCAATAAATTTACTTTCAAGTCAAGCCCTTAGACCACATTTCACCACTTTAAGCATATTGCTTTCAATACAATGCCCATCTTGGCAAATCAACCCCTCATATGTGATAAAATGCCCGAAATTGAGTAAAACTCGACAATGATGTAACAAGTCATAAAATAAGTCATCACCCGAGTTAAGTTTGAGAAAAGTAAGTAATAACCTACCTTGAAAGCCGAGCAATGTGCCACACATACGTGCACATAGACATATATTTAAAGTACTTCTCTTAGTAGCATCACAGTTCAATTCTAAGGGAGGAATTTTATCCTTGATAGCAACGCAGGAACTCTTCATAACTGTTAGAGTACTAAATCCATCAACTCAAAATCCCTATTGTTATTGTCACCACTCAATGATGATCCCCCTACTTAATTTCACTTTTGGAGGATCAATACTGGTGGTGAGGAGGTGAAAGTAGAGATTAAAAATGATGAGATGAAAGTGAAGAATATATCGGAAAATAGTTTTGTTGGAAAGTTGGAGGAAATCACGCCGTTAGAAGTGAAGGACTATGAGGAGTTGGGGTTGATAATAGAACTCGAAGAATTAGGTGAAAGTAGTTTTGACTACTTTCCCCTAATTCCTCCAATTCTACAATCAATCCCAACTCTTCATAGTCCTTCACGTCTAATGACGTGATTTCCTCCAACTTTCCAACAAAACTATTTTCCGATATATTCTTCACTTTCATCTCATCATTTTTAATCTCTACTTTCACCTCCTCACCACCAGTATTGATCCTCCAAAAGTGAAATTAAGTAGGGGGGATCATCATTGAGTGGTGACAATAACAATAGGGATTTTGAGTTGATTGAATGGATTTGGTACCCTAACAGTTATGAAGAGTTCCTGCGGGTTATCAGTGTTTTTCTTTCTTTTGAGGAAATTGAAAATCAAATATTTTGATTTGGGATATGGAAGTAGATGAAATTGAAGGAAAACGAATTGGACAGAAAGAGAAAATCAATGAAATTGAAAAACCCTTTTAGGTTATTGAATTTTTCAGGGGATATGAAACTGGAAAGCAATTGAATATACTAACATTAATAGTTTAGAGGGGAAAGAGTGAAATTGGAAAATCCTTTTAATTTCTTGAGATATGGAGGTAGAGAAAATTGAAAGAAAATGAATTTGGGAATTAAAAGGAAAAGAGGAAGAAGATGAGATCCGAAATTGAGAAAAAAGGAAGAAGATGAGATCTGAAATTGCGAAAAGAAAAAAACTAAGGGAAAGAGAGAGAAAGGGAAGATGGGTTAAAATGAAATTTGTGTTATAGCATAGATCAAGTTATAAAGGAAATGGGTTAAACGGTGGGGAACTTAATTTGACGACACATAGTAAATTTGGTATTTAAAATTTATAAAAAATTGGCTAATAAAATATGACGTGTTGTTGTTATATATGACCTCTATACCCAATTAACCCGTGGCATGAATAAGCCATAGTCATAACGATCATAGCAAAAGTGGTACCTAATTTATCTGCTATCAACGACAAATAAATGAGAAATTGCCAAGAGAAATATATTCGTAAAAAGGAAAAATAACTACAATAAAATAGTGCACTAATCAAAGTACAAGAGACAAATAGATAGTAAAAAAATCGAAGGACAAGAAACTATAGGAGAAATACTAGGGCTACCGCTATGGAAGGATATGCAAGAGAATATTCTACTACCTATTAACCTTCTAACCTAATTCTTGTCTTCCACAACCTTCTATCTAAGGTTCTGTCTAATCACCTCTCCCCAATACTTCTTCGGTCTAATTCTATCTATCCTGAAACCATTCATAACCCCTCACACTTTTACATGGGCATCTGTGCATTTCCTCTTCATATGCTTAAACCATCACAGTCTCGCCTCTCGCATCATGCCCTCTATTGAGACCACTCCTACCTTATTTCAGACATTCTTAATCTAATCTCTCATAGTATGCCGACACATCCACCAAAACATTCTCATTTCTGCAACTTTAATCTTGTGAACGTAAGAGTTCTTGACTAGCCAACACTCCGCCCCATACTCTAACCACCACTCTGCAATACTTGCCTTTGAGTTTTGATGACATCTTCTTATCACACAATACTCCAGATGCGAGCCTACATTTTATCCACTCTGCACCAATACAATGTGTGACATTATCATCACTTTGTCCATTCCTTGGATAATAGACCCAAGATACTTGAATCTTCCTTTCTTTTGATTGACATGTGCATCAAGCCTCACTTCTACTCCACCCTTACATTAACATAGCAATAAATTGAAGCAGTTCAATTTAAAATCTTACGGTAATTAGTGCAGATTTTAGAGTGTTTTTCTATTTCAAAAAAAAAGATTTTAGAGTGTTTACACACTCATAAATCCTAATCGTAACTTATCACAAGTGAAAGAATGTTGTAAAAGAAAAACCCTAAATTCTCTGACACAATTAAATATATGTAAACCCCTTTAAAATCTTCCTGACTTGATGTGATACAGTAAATTTTTATAATAATACAACAAATTTTGTGTCTAGTTGATTTGGAGCACATTCCACTTGTGAAAAAGGTAAAACTTGAAAATGCAACATTTTGCTAAGTACTATCTTCTATTTTACTTTATGGTTTGATTTGGAATACATTTCAATGGTGAAAAAGGTAAACATCTAATCAAGGAAAATGCTATAGTAGCCTTGAATTGTTAATTGCCATTTAGTATTTCCAAACCAACAAAACAAAGCATTTGGCTTGTGTAAATGCTCTTTGTTTTCCCAGAACTCCACTGTTTTAGAAATTTTTTTCATAAATAAATCAATGTGCTTCTTCAGGTCAATTGATTTTATAGTTCCTCAAATACAAAATAGATGAAAACTTTTCTGAACTGCTTTTTTGTTTTGTACTTACACCTTGAATTTTGTTTTCCTGGAGTCGAAGAAATCCTAAACTTTCTTCTTCTTTATTCAAATTGTAAATGACTATGTGACCATTTCCTAGTTCCAAATAGCCCAGGCCTAAGTGCAAATATAGTAGGATAATCTGTGTATAATAGACCCTTCTGACCATTCCCCGGACCTCGCGCATAGCGACAGCTTAGTGTACCGAGTGCCCTTCTTAAAGAGTTTATATCCTAGATGCGCCCATCTAATAAGTCATATATAAAATGCATTATCTTGACCTTAAAGGGAGATTAAAAAAAAAGAAGGTACCAAAAGTTTCATCTTTATTGCTAGTAACTATGTTTTTCCCTATGGCCTAAACACAATTTGCTGTGAACCAAGCTAACTTAGTAAGGGCCTATGAGTTAGAAGTGGTGAAAAAGATTGGGCCGAGTAAAATGTTGGAGCATTTTATTTGGGAATCAGACCCAATTAGCATCTGGTTAAAAGGGAGAAGTGGTCTGAAAGAAGGGGTTATGCTTGTTATGAAGAAAATCTTTGTTCCTCTTATCTTCTTCTAGATCTAAGTTTCTCATCCTCATTCTTATCTATATCCGTAGTTACTTGTTATTTCAAATTTTCTATTGTAAGTCAATAGTTTAAGTGTTGCCGTTGTAATTTGGCTATCAGTGATTATATAATACTTGAGTATTTGTGTTGAGAATTCTAATTTGTTACATTGGTGCTTTCCTCCATCGGTCTCCAACAATGGCGATGTTTCTACCTAGATTCAGCGGCGACGGCAACCCAGAGAGCTGGATTTTCTGGCCGATTTGTACTTCACAAATCTTGGCTTCGACGAGAATGATTGTTTTCCACTTCCTTCATTCTACCTTTATGGTGAAGCCTATTTCACAATAAGCTAATTTTTGATTGGAAGCATTTCAAGGGTAAATTTGCTCAGTGCTTTCAACAACAAACCAACAACAATGTAGTGGGGCGTCTAGCTAATTCATCACAAGTTCATTTTTGACTGCGTTAATTATGTCCCTATAGTTTCACAATCAGCTGTGGTGTCTCCCAGTCATTTTCCAGCATCATCTGCCCTTGATTTTGCCTATGAAACTGGTAACTCAAAGGCGGACTTTGTGCTTTATAAATTGCCAGAGACGTATTAACATGTGGATTCCTTGGCATTGATTACTGGAAGTAATACTGAGACTGAAGCTCTTAAAGACAGGTACTCACCTCATACAGGGAATGCAAAGTCAGTAGAGGGAGCAAATTTGGTATCGGGACCTTTTTTCAATGCTGAAAACAAGGCGTTCGATGAAATGTCACACACAACAGTGAGCTTTGAAATTCATGATCTTTAACGCTATTGTCCATGAGGGAGAAACTTTGCAACTACAGTGCGACGATAGCTTCTGTGTAGATGTCAGCTTGAATACGAAGGTGCCTACTGCGATGTTAGATGATACGAAAGAATCTAATACTGAGGAGGAGGACAACCCATGAGATAATGTAGCTTTGTTTGACAAATGTCCTAAACGGGATACATCGGGGTTTTCTGGTTCCTTTTTCTAGCCAAGGTTCTGTAATGTTGAATGTGAGTATGCAAATTACTGCAATCGAATATCCATTTATGGTTTCTAATGGGATCACACTATTCCTTGTTTGCATTATTCTCTTGAAGAAATGTGTGGGGGTAAACAAACTAGAGTGCCGCCTTACCTTGACTTTAGCTTACACAAATGCAATTGGGTTGATACTGGGCAGGAGTGCAATCTTCCTTGTTTCTTGTCGTCTAACTTGAGAGGGTGTGGTAGTGAGGAGAAAATGGAGGAAGTACTCTAGGTAAATTGTTGTAAGTTCCTCCAAGCAGTCACCATATACTTGAGCTGTTAGGCTCTTGTTTGCTATGTTTGTTCTAGTCCATAAAGCAAGGGTGACTTCGTCGTATATTGTCTTTGATCCTGGTCCTTTTCTTGATTATGTCACAATCTATGCAATAGACTCCACTTTTGGAGATGGAAAATCTATAGAGGAGAGTGCTGTAACAGTACTATTTGAACGCCCAGGTGTGAAGTTTCCTATTGGGCAAGTACTCTCTGTGCAAATTGGTATCATTTTTCCATTAGGAATCTGATGTCATACTATAGATGGTTCCTTTTGTAGTCCTGTGGACAATTGGCTCGACACTGTGCAGGATGATATAGGTGGTGCATTGATTGCTAATGAATCTTTAAATTGGTTATACTGCAAAGTTGTATGATTGGGGGTGTGTCGATGGAGTTGAAATTGATATTCAAAGCTATGGTGCTTTCAACACTTCTTTTGCAAGTTACAAACTACTAGGAGAGTTTATAGAGAATTCATTGATGTGTCTTTATAATGGTGTTACTACTGTTTTGGTGCAATTCAATGCACCAGTGGTACAATCTGATATATCTGCTAAGACGAACCGTGACATTCTAATTTTTTCTCTTGGACATGATACTTTGTTGGATTGGATAACAAGGCCAGGGACGGATTCATTAAGGGATTTGCCACACTCTACACCTGTTGTGAAGAGTGAAGAGGAAGATAGTGGTGAAGCGATTGGCAAAAAGATGATAATTTCTCTAGTGAGGAAATTGGAATATTATGATGCTGCTATACTTAAGATTCCGACATTTGTTCATGTCACAACTACAGTGCGACGATAGATTCTGTGAAGATGCAGTATGGTCGTGTTGAACTCCTATTTTGACATACAACACTCTTTTGATTTATACATTAGGATTCTTTCTGAAGGGACAAGGACGACCACTACAAATAGAAATCAACAACCATTCTTCTGTCAAACTCGTCACTACAAAGGATTGATTTCACCAAATGTATTTTTGCTGCCCAACGTTGAAATGATGAGGTATCATATTAAAATCTGTTTGATCCATTTGTGAATCTGGTCAAAGCTAACAGTCTTGTAGAATATTAAGTATCTGTTCAAACCTTATAGTCTTGATGAAATATGATGTTTGTCATTTATACACATATATATAAAAAAGTAGCATACATGTATATGATACATAGTGACCTGAATTAGATACATCGATCTATTTCCGAATTAACATATCTGATGCATCCGTTTTCAGCATACATATATTGTAATTTCGGTTTTCTTGTATCTATTAGTTGGATTAGTGAATAGTAGTGGCTGGTATTTTTTTTGTTCTCCTACCCGGTGTCCAGCCTCACTCCCTGGGCTATTTGAACTAGACCATGGACAGCAGAGGAAAATAGGCATGGTGATCTTCTCAACAAATATCTTTATCTTTCGTAAGAGTTGATATGAAGCATATTGAAAAGACAATCCATTACCCAATTGGTTCTGGGATGGTAAGATTTTTACCAGACCTTATGTTATCATGTAGGTTTGCTGAGGTTTATAATAAATAGTGCAGCTTTTAGCAAGTGTTATCTGTCTCTGTCCATCTGCATTTGGCTCCAATAAACGTTGGTTACATTTCTTTGAGTTATTTGTACCAGTAACTGGTTTATGAATGAGTGCTCTTGGAATATCCCATGACTAAGTGACCATTTCAATGCACCAGTGGTACAATCTGATATATCTGCAAAGACGAACCGTGACATTGTCTTTTTTTCTATTGGACATGATATTTTGTTGGATTGGATAGCAAGGCCAGGGACAGATTCATTAAGGGATTTGTCACACTCTACACCAGGGACGGATTCATTAAGTGATTTGCCACACTCTACACCTGCTGTGAAGTGTGAAGAGGAAGATAGTGGTGAAGCGATTGGTAAAAAGATGATAATCTCTCTAGTGAGGAACTTGGAATATTATGATGCTGCTATACTTAAGATTCCGACATTTGTTCATGTCACAACTACAGTGCGACGATAGATTCTGTGAAGATGTCAGTATGGTCGTGTTGAACTCCTATTTTGACATACAACACTCTTTTGATTTATACATTAGAATTCTTTCTGAAGGGACAAGGACGACCACTACCAATAGAAATCAACAACCATTCTTCTGTCAAACTCGTCACTACAAAGGATTGATTTCACCAAATGTATTTTTGCTGCCCAACGTTGAAATGATGAGGTATCATATTAAAATCTGTTTGATCCATTTGTGAATCTGGTCAAAGCTAACAGTCTTGTAGAATATTAAGTATCTGTTCAAACCTTATAGTCTTGATGAAATATGATGTTTGTTCTTTATACATATATATATATATATATATATATACACAAGTAGTTTTATATTTTTCCTTTATATTATATTTGTTTGTAGGATTATTGGTACTTGTAAATATGATACATAGTGACCTGAATTAGATACGCCTTCTGGGTCGAGCTCGTCGCACCAGGCTTGCCTAGTGCGGGTTACCTCTCCTATGTGGTTTGCGAGCTATTGCATAGGAGCGGGGGTTTTACCCTGTGCGCACCCAAAGGGTAGCGGCTGCGGGTTTCCCTTGTCATCAAAAAAA